TTGAGCAATTTCTGTGAAGTTCTGGTAGATTTGCATTCAAAAATGTTAAATAGTAGCTACTTTTGCACTAGGTTGCATCATAAATTCGCTGTGTCTTTGAAATAATGTTAAACAAATTTTTTGTCATGTTTTATTGATTTAAGATCATTTGTACAAATTGCTTTGTCAGTTTGAGCAATTTCTGTGAAGTTCTGGTAGATTTGCATTCAAAAATGTCAAATAGTAGCTACTTTTGCACCAGGTTGCATCATAAATTCGCTGTGTCTTTGAAATAATGTTAAACAAATTTTTTGTCATGTTTTATTGATTTAAGATCATTTGTACAAATTGCTTTGTCAGTTTGAGCAATTTCTGTGAAGTTCTGGTAGATTTGCATTCAAAAATGTTAAATAGTAGCTACTTTTGCACTAGGTTGCATCATAAATTCGCTGTTTCTTTGAAATAATTTTAAACAAATTTTTTATCATGTTTTAATGATTTAAGATCATTTGCACAAATTGCTTTGTCAGTTTGAGCAATTTCTGTGAAGTTCTGGTAGATTTGCATTCAAAAATGTTAAATAGTAGCTACTTTTGCACTAGGTTGCATCATAAATTCGCTGTGTCTTTGAAATAATGTTAAACAAATTTTTTGTCATGTTTTATTGATTTAAGATCATTTGTACAAATTGCTTTGTCAGTTTGAGCAATTTCTGTGAAGTTCTGGTAGATTTGCATTCAAAAATGTTAAATAGTAGCTACTTTTGCACTAGGTTGCATCATAAATTCGCTGTGTCTTTGAAATAATGTTAAACAAATTTTTTGTCATGTTTTATTGATTTAAGATCATTTGCACAAATTGCTTTGTCAGTTTGAGCAATTTCTGTGAAGTTCTGGTAGATTTGCAGTCAAAAATGTTAAATAGTAGCTACTTTTGCACTAGGTTGCATCATAAATTCGCTGTGTCTTTGAAATAATGTTAAACAAATTTTTTGTCATGTTTTATTGATTTAAGATCATTTGTACAAATTGCTTTGTCAATTTGAGCAATTTCTGTGAAGTTCTGGTAGATTTGCATTCAAAAATGTCAAATAGTAGCTACTTTTGCACTAGGTTGCATCATAAATTGCTGTATCATTGAAATCATGTTAAACAAATTTTTTGTCATGTTTTATTGATTTAAGATCATTTGCACAAATTGCTTTGTCAGTTTGAGCAATTTCTGTGAAGTTCTGGTAGATTTGCATTCAAAAATGTCAAATAGTAGCTACTTTTGCACTAGGTTGCATCATAAATTCGCTGTGTCTTTGAAATAATGTTAAACAAATTTTTTGTCATGTTTTATTGATTTAGTATCATTTGCACAAATTTTTGGTCAGTTTGAACAATTTCTGTGAAGTTCTGGTAGATTTGCAGTCAAAAATATTAAATAGTAGCTACTTTTGCACAAGGTTGCTTCATAAATTCACTGTATCTTTGAAATAATGTTAAACAAATTTTTTGTCATGTTTTATTGATTTAGTATCATTTGCACAAATTTTTGGTCAGTTTGAACAATTTCTGTGAAGTTCTGGTAGATTTGCAGTCAAAAATATTAAATAGAAGCTACTTTTGCACTTGGTTGCATCATAAATTCGCTGTATCTTTGAAATAATGTTAAACAAATTTTTTGTCATGTTTTATTGATTTAAGATCATTTGCACAAATTTTTGGTCAGTTTGAGCAATTTCTGTGAAGTTCTGGCAGATTTGTAGTCGAAAATGTTAAATAGTAGCTCCTTTTGCACTAAATTGCATCATAAATTCACTGTATCTTTGAAATAATGTTAAACAAATTTTTTGTCATGTTTTATTGATTTGTGATCATTTGCACAAATTGCTTTGTCAGTTTGAGCAATTTCTGTGAAGTTCTGGTAGATTTGCAGTCAAAAATATTAAATAATAGCTACTTTTGCACTTGGTTGCATCATAAATTCGCTGTATCTTTGAAATCATGTTAAACAAATTTTTTGTCATGTTTTATTGATTTAAGATCATTTGCACAAATTTTTGGTCAGTTTGAGCAATTTCTGTGAAGTTCTGGTAGATTTGCATTCAAAAATGTTAAATAGTAGCTACTTTTGCACTAGGTTGCATCATAAATTCGCTGTGTCTTTGAAATAATGTTAAACAAATTTTTTGTCATGTTTTATTGATTTAAGATCATTTGCACAAATTGCTTTGTCAGTTTGAGCAATTTCTGTGAAGTTCTGGTAGATTTGCAGTCGAAAATGTTAAATAGTAGCTCCTTTTGCACTAAATTGCATCATAAATTCACTGTATCTTTGAAAAAATGTTAAACAAATTTTTTGTCATGTTTTATTGATTTAAGATCATTTGCACAAATTGCTTTGTCAGTTTGAGCAATTTCTGTGAAGTTCTGGCAGATTTGCATTCAAAAATGTTAAATAGTAGCTACTTTTGCACTAGGTTGCATCATAAATTCGCTGTGTCTTTGAAATAATGTTAAACAAATTTTTTGTCATGTTTTATTGATTTAAGATCATTTGTACAAATTGCTTTGACAGTTTGAGCAATTTCTGTGAAGTTCTGGTAGATTTGCAGTCAAAAATGTTAAATAGTAGCTACTTTTGCACTAGGTTGCATTATAAATTCGCTGTGTCTTTGAAATAATGTTAAACAAATTTTTTGTCATGTTTTATTGATTTAAGATCATTTGCACAAATTGCTTTGTCAGTTTGAGCAATTTCTGTGAAGTTCTGGCAGATTTGTAGTCGAAAATGTTAAAAAGTAGCTACTTTTGCAATAGGTTGCATCATAAATTCGCTGTTACTTTGAAATAATGTTAAATAAATTTTTTATCATGTTTTATTGATTTAAGATCATTTGCACAAATTTCTTTGTCAGTTTGAGCAATTTCTGTGAAGTTCTGGTAGATTTGCATTCAAAAATGTCAAATAGTAGCTACTTTTGCACTAGGTTGCATCATAAATTCGCTGTATCTTTGAAATCATGTTAAACAAATTTTTTGTCATGTTTTATTGATTTAAGATCATTTGCACAAATTGCTTTGTCAGTTTGAGCAATTTCTGTGAAGTTCTGGTAGATTTGCATTCAAAAATGTCAAATAGTAGCTACTTTTGCACTAGGTTGCATCATAAATTCGCTGTGTCTTTGAAATAATGTTAAACAAATTTTTTGTCATGTTTTATTGATTAAATATCATTTGCACAAATTTTTGGTCAGTTTGAACAATTTCTGTGAAGTTCTGGTAGATTTGCAGTCAAAAATATTAAATAGAAGCTACTTTTGCACTTGGTTGCATCATAAATTCGCTGTATCTTTGAAATCATGTTAAACAAATTTTTTGTCATGTTTTATTGATTTAAGAACATTCACAAAAATTGCTTTGTCAGTTTGAGCAATTTCTGTGAAGTTCTGGTAGATTTGCAGTAAAAAATATTAAATAATAGCTACTTTTGCACTTGGTTGCATCATAAATTCGCTGTATCTTTGAAATAATGTTTATCAAATTTTTTGTCATGTTTTATTGATTTAAGAACATTCACAAAAATTGCTTTGTCAGTTTGAGCAATTTCTGTGAAGTTCTGGTAGATTTGCAGTAAAAAATATTAAATAATAGCTACTTTTGCACTTGGTTGCATCATAAATTCGCTGTATCTTTGAAATAATGTTAAACAAATTTTTTGTCATGTTTTATTGATTTAAGATCATTTGTACAAATTGCTTTGTCAGTTTGAGCAATTTCTGTGAAGTTCTGGTAGATTTGCAGTCGAAAATGTTAAATAGTAGCTCCTTTTGCACTAAATTGCATCATAAATTCACTGTATCTTTGAAAAAATGTTAAACAAATTTTTTGTCATGTTTTATTGATTTAAGATCATTTGCAGAAATTGCTTTGTTAGTTTGAGCAATTTCTGTGAAGCTCTGGCAGATTTGCATTCAAAAATGTTAAATAGTAGCTACTTTTGCACTAGGTTGCATCATAAATTCGCTGTGTCTTTGAAATAATGTTAAACAAATTTTTTGTCATGTTTTATTGATTTAAGATCATTTGCACAAATTGCTTTGTCAGTTTGAGCAATTTCTGTGAAGTTCTGGCAGATTTGTAGTCGAAAATGTTAAAAAGTAGCTACTTTTGCAATAGGTTGCATCATAAATTCGCTGTTTCTTTGAAAAAATGTTTATCAAATTTTTTGTCATGTTTTATTGATTTAAGATCATTTGCACAAATTTCTTTGTCAGTTTGAGCAATTTCTGTGAAGTTCTGGTAGATTTGCATTCAAAAATGTCAAATAGTAGCTACTTTTGCACTAGGTTGCATCATAAATTCGCTGTATCTTTGAAATCATGTTAAACAAATTTTTTGTCATGTTTTATTGATTTAAGATCATTTGCACAAATTGCTTTGTCAGTTTGAGCAATTTCTGTGAAGTTCTGGTAGATTTGCATTCAAAAATGTCAAATAGTAGCTACTTTTGCACTAGGTTGCATCATAAATTCGCTGTGTCTTTGAAATAATGTTAAACAAATTTGTTGCTAAGAGATTAACGACGTTTCAATTTTTCAAATTTTCTGTTTTAGATAAAGTTTGCTGGCCCGTTTGGGGCTTATTATAGTTCTTTTCTTTTTAAGTGTTCATGCTGGGTGGACGTGATCTTTCACGAAGTAATATTTTAATTGCTTTTCCTTCCACCTTTTTTATTCATTTATAAATTGTTTTACTTTTTAGAAAAATTGAATCGTAATTGTTTCAATACAAAAATATAAATTCACGATACAATTATTTGTGTTTTATTCGTCCACTCGACATCATTCAATTTTTTTCCCATCTGGGTCCAAAAATTTCATTGTTTAAGTCAATCTATTGAAAATAAAGATATTTTACTAGTTCCTAGCGAACTATAAACCATTCATGAAGGCGTTAAGAGAAAATTTGGGGAACTAGATTCACAAGTTTTCTCGAAATTAGCCAAATTCATTTCGAACCAGACTTTAGGTTATGAGCAGAAAAGATTTTCAGCTGGCTGGTGACCAGCTCACCGCAGCTGATCATTCTAAGTGCTTTCATAAATGCAGTAAGCAAGCTGGTGACATGCTCAAATGTCAGAATGTGAACGCGATAGGAAAATTGCCTTGTGATTCGAAAGTTCATGTCACTTGTATACAAAGTTTGGAACCAGCCATATTACCGTTTCTCGCGACCTTCTTTTGTGCCAAATGCTGTTCCGCAAATACAAATATTAAAGAGGAAATGGTTAAGATTGCGGCTGAAGCAAGACAAGCTCTTGCAAAGTCACAAATTTCTTTACCAAATCCTCCGAAGGAAAATGATGAGATCCAGAAATTGCAAATTACAATTAAAAATTTGCAAAGTCAGCTAGCTACTACAGCAAAACAATTGCAGGCACAATTAGTGTTGAATGATAATGTTCAGAAACGTTTTGAGAATCTGGAAGTCGAAAGAAATGAATTGAAGGAGAAAGTATTAAAGTCGCAGTCATGTCTGGATGCAAATTTGAAAAGATCGTTTTCGGAACCAGATAACGATAATAATGATCAAGGAATAATTGATTCACTGCTCACGGATTCTACAGCAACTATACTTACCGCAGCTCAACTCAATCAGCAGGCTGAAGAACAACAACGAAGAATGAATGCAATGTTGAATTCTTCATCTGCCTCAACTAATGATCATATCAGGGAAAACTTGTCGTTATGGCCAAACTATAGAATTCAGGAACAAAAAGCAAATGCTTTGTCTGAAATGTCGCTTTCGCTTCTGCGATCTAGCATTGCAAAGCCATTGCCATTTCAGGGAGATGTAACGACATGGGCATTATTTCTATCTGATTTCAAAAGAACGAGTTCCCGAGGTCATTATAGAGAAATAGAGGATATGGAGCGTTTGCGTGAGTT